AGCTCGGGGGATCCAGCCCCCAGCAGCGCTGCGGCACGGGGCCATCCCGGGCTCCCCGAGGCCGCACTGCAAATTCTCTCAAAGGGTTCTGGAGAAGGAAACTATTTTGCATGCTTTAATAGGATCATTTTTACCAGTCACTTAGCTCCTCTCCTTGCTAAGACACTGTTTTACTTCTAGCACTGAGTCAATTCGTGGTGAAACCCTTAAAGCACGTCCTTGTGCTTGGTTATTGAGCTGGCCGTACTTTGCTCCTCAACCCTGATGTTTGTCAGCCTGCAGGCGAAGTAGCAGTCAGTGCAAAGTGGGACAGCCCTGCTGGAACGAGCAGGGCCAATTTAATTTGGCCAACTAAAATGGGAGCGTGCTTGTTTTGCCTGCAAGGAACCAGGACTTTTCCCAGGGCAGAGGCGTGGGGGTCCTGCCGGGACTCGCTGCCATCGTGCCGTGTCTTCCCCTGCCACGGGGCTGCGGCAGCCCGCATTCCCGCAGGAGCCTGCTTACAGCTGGATGAACTATTTATTAGCATGATTTCACTCTTTTCTAGTTGCTGCTAAATCACAAATTGACTGTGAATTGTACCAACGTGTTACTTATTTTAAATTATCACCAAATGCTTTGCATGAGCATATGTCAGCCTCGGGATGGCTTGCGATCTGCCTGCTCCTACTCAGCGTGAGCATCAGCTCTTATTTTGAGTTCTGCCTTTTGTTGGGGGAAAATAGAGATGTCCTGGTCCCGGTAGATTTGGGATTTGAAGCATCCCCCTCCTACTCCTCTGGCTTCACCCAGGGTTTCGGGTTCCTTTGGCGAAGTTGCCCGAGGGACGGGGGAGACCCGCGGGAGCCCCCCACCAGCCGCAGGCTCTCCAGCCGCGCTTCGTTAGCAGCCGGCCGTTGTCACAGCCATGTCGCGCTGGCAGCAGGAAGGTGCAGCCCCTCGGAGCAAGTTGCTCTGTGTCCTCTGACACCAGCTGCGAGTTTGGCCCGGTTAGTGCCCCCCCGGGAGATGTGCTCCCCGGGCGGTTTGGAAGTGATGCTCGCATCCCTCCTCCGCCGCAAGTGTCGGAGTTTGCGTTAATGTAGGGAGCGCGTTCTCATGCGCCACGAGGTGAAGAGCACTAACGAACCTCACAAGATGGTATTGTCTAACGAGCAAATGCAGCTGCGACAGGCAGCCCGGTACGGGTGCAGGGAGGAGTTGCTATAGAAACACGCAGAGATAACAGCTCCTCCAGAAGCCCCTAAATGTGCAAACGGGAGGGTAGGAGTAGGTGAGCGGGGTGTCAGCGTCTCACTGTTGCGATGGCAGAAGGAAAAGGAAAAGAAAAAGCGTTTCCCCGTGTTACAGGAGTGAACCCACGGCCAGGGTGGGAGCGGTGCAGACGCACCCTCCTCGCTCCCTCCCAGGATCCCGCTTTGCGCTCGCTGTGCATCCCCTGAGGGTCCCGGGGGGTCCTTGTGGGGAGCACAAAGGCCACTTGGCTGCTGGCAGAGCAGCTCCTACCGGGCAGAGGGGAGGTGAACTGAAACAGAGCAAGTTCCCAGTGGTGTCCCCTTGCCTGCAGCATCACCGTGCCCGTCCTTGTCCCCGCAATGCCAGCATGTCCCAAGGGGCGCGAGGCTCCTGCCTGGCAGTGGCGGGAGGTGGGGGGGTGGCAGAAGCCGAGGCTGGAGCCCAGGAGAGCGGAGTCCAGGGCTCCCAGCAGAGGGGCTGGGGCAGGAGATGGGGAACAATATTTGGGGGTCCCAGAATGTGTTGGGGAAGAAGTTGGGGAAGAAGTGGGTCTGGAGGAGGTGGTTTGGCACTGGCAACACAGGGGGTACCTGCACGTTGGGACCCCTGGCCGTGGGTGCCACGCAGCAAGGAGCAGGGTCGCAATGGGACGGGCGCTGCGGGGGCAAGGGTCCTCCCCTGCCCGGCCGGCTCCCCGGCTGTCAGCACGGGGGGAAGCAATTAATCTGGGACTCGAGCTGAACCTCGTCATCAGCGTAGCGGAACCAGCAGCTGAAGGGGTCCGGGACGGGATGCACGAGGAGGAACTGAGCTGTTTGAATCAGTCTCTGCGAGCAGTGCACTACGGAAGGGTCTGACCTCCTTGCCCCGATAGAGCCACGCACGGGACGGGGCAGGAGGTGCAGCTGGTGGCCCCGGCATCCCCGGCGTTTGCAGCTCCAGGGAGGACTGAGGCCAAGAGCACAGGAGGGGCTGGGGCTGCTCTGACCTTTCCTTTTCCAGGTATGGCTGGATCCAGAGCTCTGGGCCATGGCCGCTCCAGTCCCACTCCTCACTGCACTCTCTTCTCTCATTTTTCCAGGATTTTCATCCCCAAGAAGCACCGGCAGCGGTTTGACGAGGTGGTGTCGCAGAGCCTGATCAGTAAGCTCTGCCGCTCCAAGAGCGAGCAGCACAGCAATCGGCTGCGGCGCAGCCGGAGCGAGGACCACCAGGAGCGGCTCCTCGTCTCCCCCCGTGCCAGCTCCGTGCCCCGCAGCCACGAGGAGGTCAGCAAGAGCCTGCGGAAAACCACTTCGCTCATCACCAGCAATGTGGCCTCGGGGGCTGCCCGCAGGTAACACCTCTCCTGGACCCCCTCGAGTTCGCAGAGGCAGCGTCTGATTTGGCAAGGACGGCAGTATGGGGGAGGGATGCCAGGGAAAGGGGGGAAGGCACTGGGAAAGGAGGTGTCTTCGGTGTGCAGAGTGGGTGAAATCCTCCTGGGATGAGGACGGACTCGATGATCTTAAAGGTCTTTTCCAACTTAAATGTTTCTATGATTCGATGAACAAAGACCTCTCCCTCTCAAAGGCTGGGCATGTTTGCACCCCGTGGCCCAGCTCCGGGCCACCCTTTCTGCCCCCTCGCTGTTGCAGGGCTGGCTGGGACGAGCCCCATGTGGAGCTGAGACGGCACTCGCAGGCTGCGAAGGGATGTCGGCTCTTGCGCTGGGTGGGCTGCAGGGTGCCCGGCCGTGCCAGCGGGATGCAGGGTACCTGGGCGCAGAGCCCGCTGTATCGTCCTGCCCTGCCCCGGCTGGTGGCTGGGTGCGAGGCCGTGGGAGGAAGGACGGACAATCCCTCGTGCGCAGGGGATTAACCCATTTCCCGCTGCCCGTATGGCCAGACCTCAGCAGCCCCGGGGGGCCAAGGAGCCCTGCCGCACCGGCGGGGGCCCCTGCTCTGTTCCCAGCCCCGTCTCACGAACAAGAGCGCAGGATTTGGTCTGCCAGCACAGCCAGGGAATCCTCCCGGGAGAGACTGCGCTGTCACAGGCACGTCCCGAGCTATTCCCCTGCCTCCAGCTGGTATCTCCAGGGCGTTCAGCTGCAGCACACCTTCCCACCAGGAAGGTGTGACTTATCCAAAATCCAGTTCCAGCACAGTCTCCCTCCCTGCCAGTGTAGGATCGGTCCCTACAACAGGTTTTCTGGTTGTAAATGATCTCGGTGATGTTGCCTTCCCCCAGCTCCCTGCGGGGAACAACGCCCAGCTCCAATCAGCCTCCCAGCAGGGAGATTTCCTAATGCTCCTTCCAGAATTTCCTAGCTGAATTTAATTTCTCTCTCATCAGCCTACAAGATCTTTGCCCCCCTAAAACACGTTGTCTCTCTTATTCTATATAAGAATATATAAGATATATAAGCTATATCCCATGTTCCGCTTTAAAACCACGTTGGATTTGAAGGACTGGACGGTGGTTTTATGAATTCAGTAATTAATGCAGAGCAAGAGGCCATGCTCAGGGGCTCTGTCCCTAAAACAGCAGCATCTCTTCCTGCCTCCAGAGCATCCGGATCCCCCCAGCCCTCCCTGTGGTTTTGTCTGGGCCATTTCTAGCACCCCCCCGGATCACTCCCCACCCCACCATCCCATGCTGGCTCAGCACCGTGGGCTCCCTCTGCTCACCGGCACGGGCAGGCTGCAGGCAGGACAGGCAGGTGCGCTGTGGCCATCCGGGGCCACCAAACCCACGAACACCTTCCCTCCATCCCCTCTCCCTGTGGGCAGGGCGCATTTCGGGGGCTCCCGTTTGAAAGATGCTTCGGTATCAAAGGGGACCTTGTGGGGACATGGGGAACGTCAAGGGCTTGGGCACTCAGGAGACTCCCGGGCTAATGGGGCTTTGGAGGGGCTGGGAAAGGAAACAAGAACCAAATATTGGGCTCTGATGTCACATTTGCTTTTTCACCTGCAGAACTGTGCGAGTTTATAAAGGCAACAGGAGCTTTGGCTTCACGCTACGTGGCCATGCCCCGGTGTGGATCGAGTCTGTTCTGCCAGGTAAGAAAACCTCCAGCCACAAGATTCAGACCTCTGGTCTGAACTCGAAATTTTAAGTGCCTGCTGTTTGCTAGAAAATAGCAGAAGGGACTTTTACAAGGCTCAGTGATGGACTTTCCCCGAGTTGAATAACTAGCGTCTTTGGTACAGTTCAGTTTGGCTTTATGCACTCCCCGTTTTGAAGGGTGGAAAATGCCGGTGTTCAGTGAATAGCCTGAAATCACACCCGCGCTTCCAACGCAAGCTGGGCGCTGGCATCACTGTACCTGGT